AGCCACACCAGCCCCAGGAGAGGGGCTGTGGCCAGAGATGTGGCAATCCGGGCTGCCGGGACCACAGCAGCCTGGCAGTCTGGCGGGGGGTGGGAGGGTGAGTTGGGGGGCTGGTAGCAGGGGACCTCTGCTAGTCTGGCAAATTCCCTTGTTTGGGACCGGTCAGGTCCCAAGGGTGCTGGATCAGACAGGTCCGACCTGCATCTAACTTAAATTTCTTTGATGCAGATTTAGCCCATTGCTTCTTGGCCAACCCTCAGAGGACATGGAGAACAATTGATCACAGTTTGCTTTATAACAGCCCGTAACATGTGAAACCCGTTATCAGGTCCCCCCTTGAACATCTCTTCTCAGGATTAACCATCCTGCTATTTAACATTTCCTCATAGGTTGGGTTTTCCTCTAGAAGTTTTGTTGCTCTCCGTTGGACTCTTTCCAGTTTGTCCATGTGTTCACTGAAGTGTGGTGCCCAGGACACAGTTCTCCAGTTGAGGCCTCACCAGTGCTGAGCAGTGTGAGACAGCTGCCACCCGTCACTGTGTCTTATGTACAATACACCCACTGCAGAATGATGCTCGTCTTTTTTTGCAACTGCAGCACATTGCTGGCTTATATGCGATTGGTAATCCACTGCAATCCCTAGATCCTTATATCCAGCGACATGCCGCTACAGAATGCTGCTTAGCTGCTGGGATAGTCCATCCACTTGGGAGGATCTGTTCTCTTTTCCCCTCACCACTTCTGAGCAACCTCATCCTTCCACCAGGTGATAATGAGACTTGTTTGTGCACCCACCCACTTGTCCTTAGCCAGTAGAAAGGGTTGCTTCTGAGTAACACAAGATATAAAGGGGGTGAGTGTGCTGCTGCCATGGGCCCAATGACCATGAGATGCTCATTCAAAGTTGGGGGATGCTCATTCAAAGTCCAAACTGCACAACCAACACCTTGAACAGATATGGAATAACTGGAATCTGCAGGAATTTTTGCAGAATTGACTCAATTGTTAATAAAGACATTAACTGGATGTCACATTATAAAGCCAGTCTCCCCTGGTCCCTAACAACTGCATTTTTTACATGAAAGTTAAGAATGGGATGCTTCCAGCCCATTTAATTAGCCTCATTAGCACCGGTCCTACAATTGACAGGTACTTCCCATGCCCCCCATCGTGTAGCCACGATGCTTTTTTTACAGCCGCTTTTGAGAGTAAAGCAAAACTTTAGATTGGGGGTAGCCAGGCTTCTCTTGAGTAGGGTCTGATACATGGTGTCTGATACATTGGTGCCCTCTGCTGGTTCTTGCTAGAGTAGCTTGCAGTTGAAACTCTTTTTGCAGTATTCAATAGAACCAGAGACTCAGCAAAATTCTTTTCTCAGCAACACCAGTGCATCCCCTTGACTTTTAATAAAGTTCAGTTGGTGTAAGACTGGAGAGTTTGGTCCCCTGTGAGCTTCCTAGGCTACTGGGCCTGGCCTAAATAACCTATGAAAGTATGCCAAGTAAGCTCCAAACTGGAAGTCACCCTCTCGTTGCATCATGGCATCAGGGCTCTCTTCTCTGGCAGCATTGCCACTGTCATGTTCTGTACAGTGCAAAGCACTCACCAAGTAATAGATCAGAGTATCAGTCATCACCAAGCGGTCTCAATGCACCAACAGTCAGGCAGAATCATTCACTTCCTGTTACCTTTGTAATCTGTACTCCACTGTTCTATCAGTGCATCTACTGCACCAGGGTTCTTTGTTGATCAGACAATTGATCTATGGAAACCCATCAGACGAAGAATACAGTGCAAATTTCCATCCCCTTTGGAATAGTTTAATGGCCTTACTGAAACAGCAGAGGGAAAGGCTCCCAGTCTGCTGCTACAGAAATTGCAAGAATGAAGAAAAGATCTTATTGATTCAAGGATTTCTTATTGTCCTGTTATTGCATGATACTACCAAGGAGCCCAGCTTTCAGTAACCATAGAGGGTATTGTAACTGGCCATTAATCTATTTTAAGTTTAAAACCCATTTATTTAGAATACACATTGGACCACAAGCAAATATATGTTGTGCTGATTCCTTTAAATGCTGAAGTAAATGGCTGCGTCTAGACTGGCATGATTTTGCGGAAATACTTTTAATGGACAAGTTTTTCTGTTAAAAGTATTTCCGCAAAAGAGCATCTAGATTGGCAAGTGCCTTTGCGCAAAAGATTTGCTTTTGCACAAAAGCATCTGTGCCCAGTATAGACGCGGTTTTGCGCAAGAAAGCTCCGGCGGCCATTTTCGCCATCGGGGCTTTCTTACACAAAAAATTCCTGTCCCTGGCTACACTGGCCCTCTTGTGCAAGAACACTTGTGCAAGAGGGCTTTTTCCCGAGCGGGAGTGTCAGAGTTCTTGCGCAACAATACTGACAATCTTACATTAGATCGTCAGTGTTCTTGCACAAATTCTCACGGCCAGTTTAGACAGCTGGCAAGTTTTTGCCAGTCTAGATGCACCCAATGAGTTTTAAAGAACTTAATGTATGTGAATCATAGAATGCCAGGGCACTGTAAGAAGAGACCTCAAGAGGTCATTGAGTCCAGCCCCCTGCCCAAGGCAAGACCAACCCCAACAAAATCATCCCAGCCAGGGCTTTGTCAAGCCAGGACTTAAAAACCTCTAGGGATGGACAGTCCACCCCCTCCCTAGGTAACCCAGTCCAGTGCTTCACCACTCTCCTAGGCTGAGTCTACACTGGCATGAATTTCCGGAAATGCTCAAAACAGAATAGATTTCATTATAAGTATTTCCGGAAAAAGAGCGTCTACATTGGCAGGCTGCTTTTCCGGAAAAGCCCTTTTTCCGGAAAAGCATCTGTGGCCAATGTAGACACGCTTTTCTGGAAAAGAGCCCCGACCGTCATTTTCGCGATTGGGACTTTTTTCCGGAAAAGACTGCTGGGCTGTCTACACTGGCCCTTTTCCGGAACAGTGTTCCAGAATAAGGACTTATGCCCGAGCGGGAGCAGAATAGTTTTTCCGGAATAGCGTCTGATTTTGTACAGTAGAGCGTCGGTGCTTTTCTGGAAATTCAAGGGCCAGTGTAGACGGCTCGCAGCTTATTCCGGAAAAGTGGCTGATTTTCCGGAATAAGTGGCCCAGTGTAGACACAGCCCTAGTGAAATAGTTTTTCCTAATGTCCAACCTAGACCTCCCCTACTGCAACTTGAGACCATTGCTCCTTGTTCTGCCATCCCTCACTACTGAACAGCTTCTCTCCATCCTCTTTGGAACCTCCCTTCAGGAAGTTGAAGGCTACTATCAGATCCCCCCTCAATCTTCTCTTCTGCAGACTAAACAAACCCAAATCCTTCAGTCTGTCTGCATAGGTCATGTGCTCCAGCCCCCTAACCATTTTGGTTGCCCTCCGCTGGACCCTCTCCAATGCATTCACATCCTTTCTGTAGTGGGGGGCGGGGGCCAGAACTGGACACAATATTATAGATGTGGCCTCACCAGAGCTGAATAAAGGAGAATAATCATTTCTCTGGATCTGCTGGCAGTGTTCCTCCTAATGCACCCTAATATGCCATTTGCCTTTTTGGCTACAAGGGGACACTGTAGACTCATATCCAGCTTCTCATCTACTGTAATCCCTGGGTCCTTTTCTTCCAAACTACTAAGCCATTTGGTCCCCAGCCTGTAACAATGCTTGGGATTCTTCCATCCCAAGTGCAGGACTCTACACTTGTCTTGTTGAACCTCATCAGATTTCTGTTGGCTAGGGTGGCCAGGTGTCCGGTTTTGAACCGGATAGTCCAGTATTTGAGCTTTCTGTTCGGGAAACAAATTGAGAAAATAGAATTGTCCAGTATTTTCAAAAGAAGATGTAATGTAGATTGTGATGTAATGTCAAGTATGTCCGGTATTTTTGTTGAAACCATCTGGCAACCCTACCTTTGGCCCAATCTTCCAATTTGTCTAGATAACTCTGGACCCTAGCCTTACCCTCCTGCGTATCTATCTCTCCCCCTAGCTTAGTGTCATCTGCAAACTTGCTGAGGGTGCAATCCATCCCCTTATCCAGGTCATTAATAACTATGTAGAACAAAACTGACCCTAGAAAACATCCCTGGGGCGTTCTGCTTGAAACCGACTGCCAACCTGACATTGAGCTGTTGATCACTACCCGTTTGGCCAGAGAATTTAGCCAGCTTCCTATCCACCTTATAGTCCAGTTATCCAATCCATACTCCCTTAACTTGCTGGCAAGTATATTGTGGGAGACCATATCAAAAGCCTTGCTAAAGTCAAGGTATATCACATCTACTGACTTCCCCATGTCCACAGAGCCAGTTACCTCATCATAGAAGCTAATCAGGTTGGTCAGGCACAACTTGCCCTTCATGAATCCATGTTGACTATTCCTGATCACTTTCCCCTCTTCCAAGGGCTTCAAAATGAATTCGTTGAGGATCCCCTCCATGATTTTTCCAGGGACTGAGGTAAGGCTGACTGGTCTGTAGTTCCCTGGATTGTCCTTCTTCCCTTTTTAAAAGATGGGCACTACATTTGCCTTTTTCCAGTCATTTGGGATCTCTCCCGATCTCCACGAGTTTTCAAAGATAATGGCCAAGGACTCTGTAATGACATTTGCCAACTCCCTCAGTACCCTCGGATGCATTAAATCCGGGCCCATGGATTTGTGTATGTTTAGCGTTTCAAATAGTTCTTAACCTGTTCTTTCTCCACCGAGGGCTGTCCACCTCTTTCCCATACTGCGTTGCCTAGTGGAGCAGTCTGGGAGTTGGCCTTGTTTGTAAAGACAAAGGCAAAGAAAGCATTGAGTACTTCAGCTTTTCCCACATCATCTGTCACTAGGTTACCTCCCTCACCCAGTGCTTTCACCTTTACAGAGCCAGTTTCAAATACTGCCTGAGGTAACACTTGAAGTGGCGTTTACACATCTTAACTTGGTACACACTGAAATAGCAAGGCATGGTGCAGGGCAGGGTGTAGAGATGTTACAGATCTGGGTGGAGGTGCACTGGCAGAACTGTTTCCTCCTCTTAAGGCTTTCAATAGTGTTGATCAGTGCAGTACTGGAGGGCTGAGCTGGGCACAGGACCAGGAAAGCAGAACTACAGTGAGTTGCATCAGCAGAGGCATGTGTATGGGGCTCCTCAAAATGGAAAACAGCAAGAAGTGCAGAAGTGAAATGGCAGAGCAATGTGGACAGAGTTTGCACTGCCTCTGCCTTTCTTTAGACAAGTTCTAGGTTAGATAAATGTCTATCAGGGATGGTCTAGACAGTATTTGGTCCTGCCATGAGGGCAGGGGACTGGACTCAATGACCTCTCGAGGTCCCTTCCAGTCCTAGTGTTCTATGATTCCTGGACATTCAATCAACCTAGGCAGTATTAGTAAAAGTGGATTAACCCTCCAGGCTCAAACTAAGCCTTGACCTGAGACTGAGGCAGCCTGCTCCTCTTACCTGCACAAACTGCTCCAGGGCTTGCTTATCCAAGCAAGTGTAGTTCTGCAGGAACTTGAGTTTTTCTAGCTGGAATTGGTCCCGAGTCTGGGCCTCTGCTTGCTTCTCCAGCAACTGGAATACCATGGCCCCTAGGAGAAGGTAAAAGAGATACCCCAGCACCAGTACCAGAGTCCAGTTGACCCGCCAGCCGCATACAACGAGCTGAGCCATGCTGCTGCGGCAAGATGTAGCTCTCCCTGCTGAGCACTCACTGGGTTAATGTGCCATGAGGCACGCTGCCCCAAGCGCCCAGGAATCACACGGTCACGATTCCAGCAATTGCTGCTGATATTCTGTTTAAACAGCTGAAAGACATCAGGCCTGTCTGAAATGAAACGTGTGCAAACAGCGTTCCTCTCCCCTCGTCTTTTCTGTAGCCAGGAGTGAACTGACTGGCAAGCCGCAGGAAAGCTTTCCTCTTAAAGTATCTTTTCATCCAAGAATCTCACCAGGCTTTCCAGCTTTTGACGAATGAAGCCTCACTACCCCTGTGAGGTGAGTATCACACCCCTGATTTTCTATAGTGGAGAACTGAGGCACAGAGTTGGAAAGTGACTTACCCAAGGTCACACAGTAAGTCAGTGGCAAAGCCAGGAAGAGACTCCGTCTTGACTCCCAGCAGTTTGCTGTAACCACTAGACTTCAATACAAGGAGGTACTACAATATCTCCAATGAGAGGAGGCATCCCAGAACAGACGAGAGTATGGAGCTGAATGCACTGAAAAGTCAGTAGCTGCAGGGTGCACCATACAAGCATTGGTGGCATCATTGAACACAACAGGATGAAGGTCTCAACCATCCTGAGTTAAGCTTGGTGACAAAGTGGAATGTCGAGTGACTCCACTCTCCTGGCTGTCTGGCTTGCAGGTTCAAACTCTTTATCAGTGGACTCCACGCTGGAAAAGCCCCTAGTCTCTCAGGCTAGGAAATCAATCACTCATCTTTACTGCTGCTCTCCAGGTTGCCCTTTTAATCCAAACGACAGAGCAGGAGGAGGGCTAAAGGTTAATCGTTAGCTAAAAACAGTCCCATAGACTTACTCATGGGAAGCTCAATGATTTTCATGTGTTGGAAGGGAGCTAGAGTTTTGTATTGTATAGGAGGAAGAGCCAATGGCTTGCGGCCAGAATGTGGCTGAGAGAAAACAGCCATGGCAAGGAAGCCACGTCTGGTGCGTGGTTTTGTTATCAAACTTCCTCCCTGTTCAAATGCTCTGCGCAATGGTTGTCGGTGGAGGGTTTTTTCACCAGCCTGGAAATGGTGCTTGGGGAAGTAGAGGAAAGGCTGTGACAGGGTCAGGTCCACTTCTGGGAGAAACTTCACATGCTCCATTTGAATTGCTGTTTGTAAGAGCCAAATCCTGCCGTTCCACATGTTGACCGACTGGCAGCTCAGCCTTGGAAGCTCCTGGCAAGCTGCCTATGAATAGAGCATTCCTGGGACTTGGCTCAGCGCAGTGACGACTGTTGTGTTGCTGGGGAGAGAGGGGCAGGGGAGGAAGGAGTCTGGTAACAGATGTTATATTAGAGGACCCAGAGGGTTAGAATCTCAGTTCTGGGCAAGTCCTCAGTTGAGGAGAGGGAGAGAGGAGCCAGAAGCAGAAGTGAGGCTGATAGCGCCCAAGTCCAGCAAACCCTCCCAATGAAATGGCAAAGCAAACTGATCAAGAGACACAGGCTGGCTAGGCAGCACTTCTGATAGCTACGAGGGCAAGGGCCCAGCTGGAGAACCTGCAGCAACAACTGCTGTTTTCTTTCTGCTTGCCCAGCACAGAGGCAGAGCCCATTTGTTGTGGATTTTGGGGGATGCTGTAGGGACATGGCCTTGGACCATCTGGGAGTGGCTGCAAAGCAAATCTGCATACTCAGCGTCTGCTGGCTGGGATCATTCATTTTCACAGTGTAGGAGGCTGAGTCCTCCTTGCCCATGCATCCGGGACCTCTTCCTCTTGGAGACCCATCAGAAACTAGTCAGCAACTTTCTGGGATTGCTGGAAGTCTATTCATTTTGCTTAGCATTTGATGAACTGGGTTAAATTCCCACCGTTGAAGGAGATGTCCTGATGCAATGTGCTAAAGCAATTAGTTAAATGAAGAACTAATAAAAAAAATTGGCCTGCCTTATTGAAGAACCTTTCTTTGATCAGAGTTCAGGCAGACATCCCTCTTCCCCCAGCCCTCCAGTTCCTTTCAACACCTGGGGCCAATGATCAGAATTTGAAGCCTACAAAATGTATCCTAGGAGAGACATCTGGTGATGCTGGTGGTCAGGAGGAAGAAAGATGATCACATGAGAAGAAAATGTTCTTGTGGGTTTAGCTAACTTGAGTGAGTATTGTAAGTACCAGGGAGTTTTATAAACTGAACCTCTAAGTTTGCTGATGTTTGTTCATCACAATACTTGAGACACTTGTCGTTAAAGGGTCTTTTGCATGCATCAGAGATGGACCCCCATTTGGCTGGGCTGAATGGAATGATTTGTAATGGACTTTCACTGGAGGTGACATTCTCTTTAATGGCAGGAATTAACTAGAACCTAAAATGCATTTCAAAACAGTAGGCACCAAAAATCAATTAATGGAAAATAAAATCTAGCCAGCAGCTGTGGCAAAGTTGAAAAGAGACCTGGAGCATGTGATAAGAGATGTCCTGAGGATGACTTAATAAGCAGGGTTTCAGTGGGAAAAAGAGAAAAGCAGATCGATTATGTGTGCGAGAGAGAAAATGCAGAGTAAATACACAGCTGGGGATGAGGGCCGTTCCAGCTGAATAAGCTTGAAGATAAGTGCAGGGAGAAAAACCACACAGCATCCATTTAACAAAGGCATTTTCACTCGCACACACACAATGCCATGCAAGTGAACAGAACAGTGTGTTCTGAAAATGTCGACTAAAACATGAGATAAAATGATTACATCGAGTCCGCCCTTGTCATCTCCTCCTCTGGGAAAATCACACTTCAGGTGAGGAATCTATTTGAGATCTGTCCCCTCAGTAGAGACAGTTGTAGGGTTTAAGAAATACCTCTTGGATTTTGTTGCTTTTGCTCTAGAATCTGGAAACTTTAACATATTTCATTTTCCCCCTTCATCAGTACTGTACCACCTTCCAAGCTCCCATTTGTTAGAACTTTCAAAATGCTTTAAAAAGACTAAAAATGCAGCGAATAAACCTCTGATTTGAAACTTCTCCCATTATTGAGATGTTGGACAGAACAACTCAGTTGTGTTTATTTATTGGTTGTAGTATTGTATGTAGCATCTAGCAGCCACAGTCATGTGCTGGGATGCTACTGTGCTAGTTGCTGTACAAACACAACAAAACTGGTTGCTATTCTAGAGTTTACAGCAAACCATTTAGAACTTTTTTATTGTGGGTTGCTGCTTTTCCCCTTGTGCTTTTCAGTACATTTTTCTCCTAGTCTTCAGCTTCACTGCTGGCAGAAAATATGCTATCTCATTAGCATATTTTCTGCTGTTTCTTTTTGCGCAAGGGGGTTTTGCGCCAAAAAAAGCCGTGTGGATGTGGGTTTTTACACAAAATCCCCGTTTGGCACAAGATCCTTATGCCTGTCCCAGACTGTTCAGATTTTTTTAACCCCTTGCTCAAAACAAAATGGCGGAAAATATGCTAATGAGATTGAGACTTATGCTAATGAGTCCCTCATCAGCATATTTTCTGCCAGAAGAACTGGCAGTGAAGACATAGCCGTAGATTTAAACCACTGATTCCCAAAAGCAGCTCACACAATGGACACTGTAAAGATTCTCACTGGGAAAGTCTTTTTGCCCTAGGCCTACATTATACCAAAACGATCAAAAATCCAACCCAGAAGGCCCTAGTCACCAGCTGAGAACTTAGGTTTAGCTAGATCCAGATGGAATTCAAACCTGCAATTTCAGAGTCCTAAACCAAGAACTGATGACGTCTGAGTGAGTTCTAAATTTGGCAGAATGTGCTTACTACTCTCTTGTCCCAAGTGAACCAAAATACTATTTGGCTTCCACAGGACAGAATTCAATAAGGGAACACGCTAGAAAAAAGAAGATTGGAAGCCTCCTTCTGATGATCAGATGAAGTATAAAATCTAATCCCGCTTCATAATCCCACTTTGTTCTTTGTGGTCAGACTTTTTTTAACCCATAGCTAGTTGGGACGGGGACAGATTAAGCTCTCACTGGGCCTTTGGCACACATATACTCCTGGGCCTGTGCCTTCTAATACGAATAACAATAAACGGTTGATAAATTGTAAGAAAGGGGGCAAACCACACTTAAGTGATGCTCCCTCCCATATATGGCACTTCAGTAAAAGCGCATCCTAGCCTGTTGACGTATTGCTGCTGGAGAAGGAAGTGGTTCAAGTGTTCACCCTGGATTTTTTACAGATAAAAATCACTTGATGGTGGCAGCGATTCCCCAGAATCTGTGTATTGTGACTCTGCTCCCTCATGCTGTGGCTGATGAAGTCCTACACTGGCCACCTGGACCCGAGCAAGGACCACTTCAATGGCTACCTGGGTAGGCCCCGCATGCAGGCCGAATGAACCTTTGGGCACGTGCAGGCGAGATTCAGGTCCCTCCCGACCTCGATGTGGGGGGTACAACATCCCGCAGGTGATTTCTGCTTGTTGTGTGCTCCACAACATCCTGGTGAGGAAGGGCGGGGGCATTCGCTCCAGGCTGGGGTGCAGAGGTTGGCTGGGAGGGACGAGTCTTTGAGCAGCTGCACACAGCTGCCATCCACCAGGCCCATCAGGTGGGGGTGCGCATCCGGGAGGGCCTGAGGGAGCGTTTCTCTCAAGGACCCCAGTAACTCTCCCCAGGGCCTCCCCACTAGGGTCTGTGTCTTGCTCCTCTCTGCCTTTTCTACAACAACCCCTCCCTTCCCCCCTGCACTTCTTTTGCCTGCAGACACAATAAAAAATTGTTTTACAAAAATAACTGTTTGCTTATTTATTTGGGATAGAAGTAACTGGAGAGGAGGAAGGATGAGAACCTGGAAATGGGGAGGAGGGTGGGTGTTGAGAACCTTGGAGGGGAGAGGAGAGGCTCAGGGCTGGGTCTGAGAGTGGCATGTGGCTTGGGTGTTTCTTCCGCCTCATGTGCAGGGACTTTGGCGACCATGGGGCAAGGCGGGGAGGAGGAGAAGGTCCAGGGAGGATGGGGGATAGGCAGAATGGGGGCTGGAGTGGGGGCAGGAGCAGGGCCAAGGACTGGGCAGGAGCAGAGCCTGAGACTGGTGCCAGATCGGTCAGGAGCTCCCAGAG